CTTCCACTGTGCCCCCCCCCCCACCCCATCCCAGGGCACCACTGAGGGTCACAGATGACCCCTCCCCAAAATAACCTCCCTTTGGGGGGGGGTCTTCTTCTTTATGGGAGAGATTGTGGTGCCCACGGAGGCTTCTCTGCCGGGTTGATGTGCCTTTGGGGCTGGGGGGAGGGATTGTTTGGGGTGGGGGTCCTCTTACCCACGAGGGAACCGGCCACCACGCCGAATCCGAGCGTTTTGCTGAGGAGGGCCTTCAGGCAGGGTACTGCGGGGGGAGGAAGAGAGAGGAGAGGGTCCCACCGGCGCCCCCCACGACCTCCGAGGAGGCCCCCATCGCGGCTGCCGTCAAGGCCGCCAAGGCCCTGCGGTGGGAGGGGGCGAGGACCCTGCCTGCCCCCCCAAAATGGAGGAAAGACCCCCCCAATCTCCCAGCCCTGCGAACGACAGCGGCCTCCTTCCGCCCACCTCCAACATGGCGCCGCCGCCCTCACACCCCGCTCCCTCCCCTATAGGAAAAACCGCGCTGCCGCCCTTCTCCAAGATGGCCGCCCTTCCGGCCCGGGCGCGTTGCCACGACGACGGCGGGGCGCCGCGCGACGGCCTCCTCCTCCTCACCCCACCACCCCCCTCCAAGGGAGGGCCGGCCTCACCGTGCAGGAGGTTGAGGTTGACGACGAGCTCCTCGTAGCAGCGCTCGGGGAGAATGTAGGGCACCAGGGCGACCTTCAGCGCCGAGGCCGCCATTTCGTGGGAGGAGGAGGAGGAGGAGGAGGCGGGGCTTCAGGCGGCCCAGACTTCCGCTTCCATCACTGCGCATGCGCTTTTCAGTCCATCTCTCTCTGGCTGGGCTGAGGCGCGCCTGCACGAGGCTGTTTGGTTCCCCCCCGGGTCCGCCGCGCGCGGCCGAGGGCCAAAATGGCCGCCGTTCCTCAGGCGCCATCTTGTCCCCTGCCTGAGGAGGACGGCCGGCTGCTGCCCGCCCTCTGTCGGGGCACCGTGGCCCTGTGCCTGCTCCACGCCCTGCGGCTGCAGCGGGGCTGGCACCTCAGCGAGGCGAACCGCCGCCAACGGGCAGCCCGCCACCGCCGGGCCCAGGCCCGCTCCCGCCAACGTTTCGCCCTGCTGTGGCTCTGCCGCCTGCTGGCCCGGGAGCACCGCCCGCCCGGCCTGGGACCCATTGGAGGCTGGCGTGGTGGGGCCACCCTGCCCCGGCTGCTGCGGGAACGGCGCCTGTGGAGCAAATGCCGCAGCTCGGCCTTCTGGGAGATCGTGCGGGTCAAGGCCTTCAGCGCCTGGGAGTGGGCCGAGAACTTCCGCGTCTCGCCGGGCACCTTCGACTACCTCTGCGCCCACCTCCGCAATGCCATCCAACGCCGGGACACCAACATGCGCCGGGCCATTCCGGCCGACGTCCGGCTGGCCATGACCCTCTGGCGCCTGGGCGCCTGCACCGAGTACCGGGCGGTGGAGCAGCTCTTCGGCGTCTCCCGCTCCACCGTCTGCAAGATCCTGCGCGATGTCTGCGAGGCCGTGGTGGGCATCCTCACCCCGCTCTACGTCCGCCCGCCTGACCCGGCCCAAGTGGCCGCCAGCAACGGATTCCCCCTGCCCCAGTTGGCCGGGGTGCTGGGCTCCCTACATGTGCCCATCCGGGCCCCCAACGAGAACGCTGCAGGCTACTACAACCGCCGCGGGTGGCACTCGGTGGTGGTGCAGGCCGCCGTGGACTCCCGCGGCTGCTTCTGGGATATCAACGTCGGGTGCCCAGGACGAGTGACGGACACCCAAGTGCTAGGCGCCTCCGACCTCTACCAGCAAGCTCAGCGGGGCGAACTCTTCCCCGGAGGGTCCCGAGATGTCAGCGGGGTGCAAGTGCCCATCTATCTGCTGGGTGGCTGCTCGTACCCGTTCCTGCCTTGGCTGATGCGACCCTACAGGGCAGCGGCTCTGAGCGCCAGCCAGCAACGCTTCAACGAGTACGCCGACGCCGCCCGGACGGTGCTGGCGGTGGCCTTCGGGCGCCTGCGTGGACGCTGGCGTTGCTTGACCAAGCGGAACGACACCGACGTCTCCTTCTTGCCCACCCTCATCGCCGCCTGCTGCACCCTGCACAACATCTGCGAGGCCCGCGGAGACGCCTTCCAGGCCTGCTGGATGGAGGAAGAGGAGGATGAGCCACGGGAGGAGCAGCCTGGGGAGGAAGGGGAGGAAGAGGATGCTGAAGCGGTAGAGATCCGAGATGCCCTGGCTTCGGGGCTGAGGGGGCTCTGAGTGGGAGTGGGGGAGGGAGCTGAAGGGGAGGGACGGGTCGCAGGGAGAGGCAAGAGTAAAAAGGGGCTCATCCTATTACAAGTAATCCTGAGCCCCAAATTTCTGCTGCGAACTCAGAAGTGAATCTTGCCTCGTTTTACGACCTTTCTTGCCACAGTGCTTAAGTGAATCCCTGCAGTTGTTAGGTTTGTAACACGGTCGTTAAATGAACCTGGTTTCCCCCATTGGCTTTACTTGTCAGAAGGTTGCAAAAAACACGACCCTGGGACGTTTGCAATCGTCGTAAGTGTGAACTCAGTCGCCATCCAGTGTCTGAATTTTGATGACGTGACCACGGAAATGTGACAAATGCTCCTAAGCCACATTTTCAGGGCCATTTCAACGGTCACTAATGAACTGTTGTAAGTTGAGGACTATCTGTATTCTCCAAAGCCCCCAAAGGCAGGACAAGAAGCAACGGATGGAAACTCATCAAGGAGAGATGCAACTTAGAAAAAAGGAGAGACTTCCTGACAGCGAGAACAATTCACCCGTGGAACTGCTTGCCACCAAAAGTTGTGGGGGCTCCAAGGCCGGAAGTTTCTAAGAAGAGATTGGACAGCCCCCTTGTCTGGGATGATATGCAGAGTTTCCCAGTTTTTCAACTTTTTAAGACTTCTGGACTTCATCTCCCAGAAGTTGTCAAGTCTACTTGAGCCCCTTTGTCTGGAATGATCTAGGGCTTTCCTGCCCAAGCAGGGGGTTGGACTAGACCAGGGGTCGCCAACCTTTTGGACCTCAGGGACCACCCAACTCATCATTTTAAATCCCGCGGACCGGAGAGCCTGGGAAAATCCCGCCCCCAAAAAGTCTGCAGGAAAATCCCCCACCCTATTTTCCTACCGATCGATCGTTCTTTATTTGGGATCGCAGGATACCGTCTCCAGCTCTGTTCTCAGGGGGAGACAGAGAGAGGAGAGACTTTTGGCTGCATGCAAAGAAAACAACAGAAGCCGCAGAAGTCTTTCTTTTTCTCCCCCCCAAACTCCACCAGAAATGAGACTTGTCATGCCGGCGCAGCCTCTTGGAGCAGGAGGCCTTGCAGGGTCCCAAAGACTCATTTCTGGCGGAGTTTGGGGGAGAGAAAGAAAGACTCTGGCTGCTTTCCTTGCGTGCAGCCAAAAGCAGAAGAGGAAAGAAGCAGGCCGGTGGCCAGGCCAGGCACGTGGGGCAAGTTCCCCCCCTCCACCCTATTCCCCCTCTCCTCACTGCCTCGTGTTGTGCGTGATGCAAGCCTTGTGTTCCCATGCAGCCTGGATTAATTGCTTTTGTGGTGTGTGTGACATTTCTCTGCGGACCACCCAAATTTTCTCACGGACCCCCAGTGGTCCCCGACCCACCGGTTGGCGACCTCTGGACTAGAAGATTCCCATCCTCCCAAGGTCCCTTCCAACTCTTATTTTGTTATCCTTGGGACTGACCCAGCCTCCGCAGCTCCTAAAAATGGATTCCGAGTTGCGCAACGTGAACTGGTGTGTGTGTGCGTGTAAGTGTAAGACCCTCTCCCCTTGAAAGGGGTCCTTCCCAGGTTTATCATCTGGGAAGAAGGGAAGAACACACACACACACACACACACACACCTTCAATAAACCTCAGGAGTTTTGCTCAGGATGTGTCTCAACTTTTCTGCAGTGTGCAATGCCCCCCCCCCCCTTTCAATCTTTCAGTGGAGCTGAGTGTGGGGACCAGGAAGTGGTAGAAATATCTTTACACACACACACACACACCAGTGTGGTTGCCAAAGCACAAGCAGTCCAGACACATGTGGTGGGGAGGGGACTGTCTCCGCCAGAGCGCACAAAACAGGAACTCGGCCGAAGGTCTCGGAAACGAAGCTTTACGACGAACAGAAAATGCAATACAGAGGGCTCTGAGCCCATCCAGCTGGTCCTTGACTTCCAGCCACTTGTTTAGCGGCCGCTGTTGCGGAAGAGACCCTCCCAAGGCAGGAAACAAAAGACGTGAAACGCCAATGAAAAAATGAAAATAAAGGCAGGACATTAAAAGAGACGCCCAGGCCTTTAATGACCTGATTTGCTGGGCACAGAGTGGGAAAGTTCAGATTTTATTCTCATGGGTCAAAGCAAACCCTCCCTTCCCTCCTTCCCAACTACAAGGTTCCTTACTCTTTACTCCGGAGAGAACTGCACCCACCTGACGTCGAATTTGAAAATATCCCCTGGTCAGCTGCGTGGAAACCTGGGAGGCAGGCAAGCCCGCTCACGACTGTGATGACCCAGGGTGGGATACAAAACAAACACACAGTCACAGAAAACAGGTGAAGCCCCTTTTATTTCTTCAGTTTGCTTCCGAGCTCCGAATATCCTTGACAGAAGACAAAAAACTCCCCCACAAACAGTTACAAGAAGGAGGAAAAAATGCAACACAAACCAGGCAAGATAAGGGCTGGAGGACGTCCGCAGATAACACACACTGGGAAGGATGCCAAACTCAGGAATCATAAACTAGAGATATTTACACGCTTTGTTTCCAGCGCTCGCCAATACGCAGGTCCAAACTCTTACTCAGTTGTCACAGCTGCAGCCCATGAAGGGGATCAAGGCCCTTTCCTCCCCTGTAGCCCACGCCATTCATGTTTCTCCTTTCTCCTCTCCTCCCTGCATGCCCTAAGATTAATAGGGGATGGGCCTGGGTCCTCCTCTGACTGCCCAGCCGGCCTCTGCCCTTCCCCAGCCTCCTCCACAACCCCCAGACAGCCACACTTCCACTCCCTGTCGGCTGTTCCTCTCCCTCAGAGTCAGTCTCCACCAGGGGCATGACAACGACTGTCCCCTTCCAATTGCTCATTCCTCTTTATTATTATTATTATTATTATTATTATTATTTTTCTTATTCTTATTATTATTATTATTATTATTATTATTATTAATTTTCCTGTTCTGACCCAAACCTTGTTCCAAGGAAACCAACATGAGGCAGAGGTAACAGCAAAACCTTTTCAGGATTCTTTGCGAATCCCGTTCCTTCAAAGATAAAAGGCTGCTTCCAACTAAGAAAGAGCCTTGCCAAATTTTTGCAAGGCTGCCAAGAACACCAGATAAAGTCCCTCAACAATAAATCGAAGAGTCTCCAAACACCAACTCAGATATTCCGAACTTCCACAAGGCTCGAAGGGCAAGAACTTCTTTGCTTCCTGCAAAGGACTCCGGTTTCTCAGGCTGGCTTTTATCCCTTGAGGGAGGGGCCATTACCTTGCAGCCTTACTCCCGAGTCGCCCGTGCTCTTTCCTTCGAGGAGCCCTGGGCACGCCCTTCCTCACTGCTGCCAGCCTCACTCCCTGATGGACCTGGCCCCATCCCTGCCTCACCTGCAGGCCCCTCATCTGAGTCCTCGCTCTCCGCGAGACCTCAGCCGTCCGCAGCGGCTGCCGGCGAAGCACCACACATTATCCCTTTTCACCATTTTTCCTCCTGGGAGGAAAACATTCCCATTGCTAAGCGAGACGGGTGTCCAGGGAAGCTGGCCTCATTTTTACAACCTTTCAGGGCCCCCCCCTCCGTCGTTAATGGAATCGCCGCTATTGTTTAGCAATTCCCAGGCCCTTATCCCCATTTAAATCATGAGTCTACGAGCCAAACTTCCAAAAAGGATTTATTGGGAGTTAACATACCGGCACTGCCTGGGTGCAGCCGACTCTGAGACCTATAATTCATGGTCACCCTGTGTCATAAATCATATTCTCCAATGGGACACCTCCATAGCCCAGAGTCATCCATCATGTTCTCCAATTAGATTTTTTGCTCGGGGCAGAAACTTCAGTCCCCTAAGTTACTATCTTTGAAAAAGCCATTGATGGAACGCGCTTTCGGTTTCCAAGCTGCCCCACTGCTCCCCCCCCCTTCCCTCCCTTTCGGTTGGCCATTCAAAAGACCCTACAGATAACGTTACGAGTTGATGTCACTTTTTGTTAAAGTGCCCTTGCAAACCTTGGCCGCTAAGTGAACTGTTATAAGCCGAGGCCTACCTGTATGGCCATC